CTCATGTATGTGCTAACAGAGTTGTTGCGTTTTTTGTCTCTATGTGCTAACAGTTTTGGCAGCACCAAAGCATGTTTCCGTACTGTAGCGTTTCTGCACACAGTTTCTGTTGCCAAGGTCTGCGCAGTCAGAAATTGTTTGCTGGGTATATATATATTCTCACATTTACGCACAACATCCTGCGAACGGCTCTTCATGTCCTTATATTCATATATTATTAGTTTAAAAGACTTATAGAGCCCGAGAGTAATCTCTATTTATCACTAATTGTTTTAATATTTTAGTTAATATGAGTGGAGACGTTAATAAGTTTATACCGGCCTTTTACTCTCATCGGAGTGTTTTTGTTACTGGTAGCACAGGTTTCATTGGTAAAGCATTGTGTTAAAAATTACTCAGATCTTGTCCGGACATTAAAGAAATATTTCTGTTGATACGGCCACAAAAGAATTTAACCATCAATAATAAGCTCAAGAAGATGTTGAATAACAAACTTTTTGACACATTACGAAGCGAACGGCCATCCAGTTTCGATAAACTCATTCCTATAAGCGGAGACATAATTACTAAAGACTTGGGAGTGTTGCCAAAGGACAGACAATTGTTAATCGAAAGAGTATCGATAATTTTTCACATTGCGGCTAATGTTCGTTTTGATGAGAGTCTCAAGAATATCGTTTTCTGCAACTTACGAGCAACGCGCGACGTTTGTATTTTAGCTCAATCCATGAAAAATATAGTAGTAAGTTTTTCTTTCTCTATATATTTTTGTTCGCAAGTAAATTTTTCTATGTGGCTTCGCGTGCTCATTAGACAGAATTCTAACAATATCGTAATGTTCAATTTACAAATTTATCGAAAAAGGCTTTAAATTATGTGAGCTCGACGTACACACAAAGCGACAAACTCGCGGTGGACGAGGTCTTGTATCCCTTCGAAGTCGACTGGAGGCAGACGATCAAGATCGCTGAGTCTATTGACGAAGAAATTCTAAAAATATTCACAAGAAAGTAATTCTATATTATTACAAACGCGCATATACATAAAATACATACGATAAGAAAACATTTATAAAATTATGTGACAAAATCTTGCATGAAAATTGTGTGATTTGCAATTATGCAGATATATTTTGAGAAATAGATGTAAAAGTATCGATCTTTTATAAAATATTTGTAACTGCAAAATTAATTTCCAAATACTATTTCGGCAAAAAAATAACGATATGGCGAATCATCTTAGCAGTATGTTTGCAAAATTAAATTTAAAAAGAAATTTTTTAATAATTGAGAAAAAAAAATTCAGCTATGTGATGTTTACAAAACATGTAGAAATAGAATTGCATATGAAGAAATCAAATTAATTCATATATGTATATGCTTATCGAAATGCATAACGAGATTCTTTTCTAATTTTTGACAAATAGTTATTTAGACAATTTTATTTTGACAAAACTGTTGCGTTATGGCGAATCATCTTAATTAGTGCAATCATTGCAACATCGTTGTCATTTATGACGCCATTTTTGTGCAATAGTTTTACAATTTGCTTATTGGGGTTTGTATATACTATTATTGTAATATTATTTATGTATATTACTATTGTAACATATTAAAATATTGTTTACGCTTATTTGTTGATTATTACAGATATATAGGAACGTTCGTAAACACTTACGTTTTTACAAAAAGATTAGCCGAGCAAGTAATAAGTGACTATTCCGAATCACTGCCTTGCCTTATCATTAGACCGTCTATAGTTGTAGCAACAGTTATGGATCCTCTATCAGGTTGGACTGACAGTTTCAATGGTCCATTTGGCATGGTTATTAGCGCTGGTGTTGGGATACTACACGTAGCGTATGCAGATTCTAGTACAAATTGCGACTATATCCCGATAGATTTAGTAATTAGAGCAATGTTAGTCGTGTCTTGGAAACGCGGAATACAAAAGTATGTAATCAAGCCGTTTCTTAGTACCTGAAACATTTTTTTCAATCACTGGCGAAAGTGCGTTAAACTTCATAAGATTTTCTATGTGAATCAGTATCTCTGAGAACAATAGCCTTCACATTTACAACTGCTCTATAGGCAATACAAAATCCATAAGCCTCGGTGAAATGATAACCAGTGGAATGCGTTACTTAGATGATATTCCTCTCAAACACATTTGAAAACCATATGTGATTCTGACAACAAATCGTTCGCTATATTACATATTGATGATAATATTACATATTGTGCCCGCAGTATTCATAGATGAAATATTAAAATTATTTCGTGCAAAACCGATGTAAGTATTATGTAAAACTTTATATTTATACACGCTATATTTTATCGAAAATATGCGATACCGAATTTGAGATTTTCTGTATAAGTTTAACACGTTCATTGATTCATTTAGATTATTAAGATTGCAACGAAAAATATATGTAGCAAACTATGCTCTGTCGTTTTTTATATTTAATGTTTTTCATTTTAATAATACAAATTTAATAAGTGTATTTGAAAAACTGAGCGCTGATAATGAAAAAGAATTTGGATACAAAGAAATTATAAAATTTGACATGGGAAATTTTTTCAAGTACGTATAAAAGCTTACGATATGCACTAAATATACAATCTTACCAGAAAGACATCTATTTTGTCTACAAAATTATTCTGTACTTCAGAAATAAAATAATATTTTTCTTTATTTTAGAAACTCAATTATCGGTATAAAAATTTATTTACTCAAGGAAGATATGAATCATCTAGAACAAGCCAGACGTCATTCTAAAAGGTAAAGTATTAAATAAAAATAAGACCTCTGCGCAACTGCTAGTTTTTTCAACCAATTTCGAGTTTGTGTGTCTGTCTTTCGTCAAGAAACATTAATATTCTTTCTGCAAAGCTTTCAGATAAAATAATACATTTAGCACTCTCTGACGGAATGTTTCACATGAACGTTTACGTTTAGTAGATTATAATGTCGTTAGACAAAAGTAAAGTTTAGGGTTGTAAGAATAGAAACGTTAGTGACAACATATTTTTTTAGGTATTAGAAAAGACAATACGCTCCGAATTATTTAAAGAAAGGCGTTGAAATGGCTGTTGAAGCAAAACACAGAAGTTGTAGTGTGTAGGTGTAATACTTGGTTTATTAAACAAACATCGAAGATAATAAACATTTCGATCTTCGGTTTAGATCTTTCTCAATATAATTAGAGAAATGCAATAACGATTGTCATTGTGATTGTAAAGAGTGTAACAAAACTGATAGTGAATAGACCACAACTTTACAAGAGCAAGTTAGGTAACTGTCAGTTACTAACAGCCATTTCAACGCCATTTTTTTTAGCTGTGTTGCCAGGCGAACAACTTTTAGCTATTCAATTTAGGTTTACACAGAAATCACAGATTTCTGTTAAATTTTTTGTTCAAAACTTCTTGGCAGATCACAAAAAATTTAAAAGTAATACACTTTGTAATAAATAAAAGAAACTCGCTCGGGGTATACTATTTAATGTAATGTTTAATTTAGGACAAAAAACTCAACATACGTACATCTACATACGACACATCTCGCGCCATAAAATTGTACAACTTTCAAAACACGTTCGATTTATTTATCTCGACTGCATTTAATAAAAAATATCGTAGCTAGCTTGATTATGGCCGCAAATGATATTGATCGCAAATGATGTGTAATAAACGCTGTTGACGTAAATTGTATGTAATCTTACAAAAATTGTTTTATAATATATGTCATTAGATATATTTGTATTGCTAATTAAACGAGTTTATCTGATATTTAGTGCTTTCGCGGTGTTCATATAGAAGAGTTCATATCGACAGTCTCTACGTATAATTTCATAAGTGTCACACACGGGATTTTCAGTTTAGTGCATTGCAACACTTAAAAAATCATTAATTAATAGGTTATTAATAGGTTATTTATAATCACCAGATGTATTTAAAAAAGTTCATAAGATAAAAATTTGAAATCGTAGAATCTTTTAACTACAAAATTTGACAGTTTTTCCGTCGGAAAATTGAGGAAGTAGAACTACCACTCAGGTATATGTTTAATGCGGGACGTATCAAATTTGCGAGCTTCAAAGCTCTAGGAATTTCAAGTTAAAAAAATATAAAGATTTCAAGTTTTAAATTGCTTTTCTCTGAAAGTTGCGGAGTTACGGGATCATACGTAGAAAGTCACGATACGTACGTTGCGTAGCCGTATAGTAGTCTCGAAACGCTTATACAGCGATAACTACGCGTTTTTTAATTGTATTGCATTAACACAATTATGGTTTTTGCATTATCAGACAGAAGATTTACATTTTCTCGCACGTTCTTTATACCAAATATATATATACACATATATACAATCCAAGTAATTATAAATATCGAAAATCATGTTAAAGAGAATGGTAAAGATTTACTCTGCGTAACGCAGATAAGACTTAAAACTGTAAAAACAAAACTATAAAATAATGACATAAAATTTCTTTGAAAATATTTTAAAAATATTTTAAGCAAAAGATTATCTAAAGCTATATAAATCGACGCATAAAACACTCTTTTTTGAACGCTGCCAGCGCTCTTAGCGCTGGTAACGCTCTTAGCGTGCTAATAGTGATGATCTCTCAATGTTTCTTATATATAAAATAATAAAAAAATATCTTATATACATATATATAAAGTACAAATAGAGTCAACTGATCACAATTATCGTAATCGATACTCTCCGTCTCGTAAAAACAGCGTTTATCTTGACGTTTCACTTTGTTCATTTTTCGTACCCAACTTCTAAGTCGACGAATTTATGTTAATATTTCTCAAGTGAAAATGATTGTTAATTCAATTTATAAAATTTAGTAATTAAATTTTTCGACATTGCTTTGCAAACACTGTATGCTAGGTGACAAAACTTTAAATATTTTATAAGAAATACAAACAAAATACTTAATTTACTATTATTGATGTTTCAGGATGAACTGGCTCGACAAAATAATCAAAATATTGTTCGTAATTATGGTATGGTATATTTTTTCTTCATGATTGCAGAATACGTTTGATCAACTATTGATAGAAGATACTTTATTTCATTTATGTGAGATCAATTGATAAAACTGCAACTTTAAAGTTAATTGCAGCTTTTATTAATCGCAGAAGTCTAAGAATTATGTAACTAAGAATTATGTCTGTGACTACAAAAAAAAAAAAAAAAAAAAAAAAAAAAGATATTTGTTCAAAAACTGTAATGAAAAAAAAATTTACTAATGTTATGCTACAAAAACTCGAATTATTAGGTGTATGCAACAGTTTTAGTCTTTTTTTCATTTCCTTGATAAAATTATTTCAAATTGAAATATTTTCCTATTCTTTTGTGTTTTTGTAAGGCGGCAGAAAATTACAGAAAATGAGGAAAAGTGTTTCCCAAATTGATTTGTAGGCAATGTATTTGATGATTAACAAGTAAAAAAAAAAAAAACAAGACTAAAACTTTTGCATACATCTAATAAATATTTTGATAGTTAAAACTTTACAAGCTATATGCACAGTAATATACAATACAGTTATCGTGATAAAAATATTTTTACAATATTGTGTAATATCATTCCTTTTTGTATGAAAAAAAAAATTGCCGTCACTTCATAAATCAAGAAAACACGTTTTATGATGACGGACAAACGCGATCACACTAAGTTTTTCTCTAAATGTTGTGTGGAAAGTTGCAATGTTTTTTCTTATCCTTTTCTGTTCTTCTTTTTCATCACGAGACCGGTCATTTTAAATTCCAAAATAAATCAAATCTACGCTCGCGAGTACTGTGACACACCTGAAGAAGATGACCATTTGGACTCGTGCACATAGCGCAGAATAGAAGCGCACGCACCGACAACGTGTAACCATATCGCTCGTGATATGGTTACGATATGATTACGTAGTTGCTAATGTGCACAACTTATCGACATGGCGCTGGCTTACAGAGCGGAGAAACCTCTTATAGCCCGCGAGCCATAACTCCACCTACTTACCTGACTCTATAGAGGTTCTTATTCTTAGTTCTTAGCTCGGTCGACTCTTTAATAACATGAGTGTTCGTCTGTTTTGGATTTGATTGTGCAAACGAATGCAAAAATATGGCAAGTTCGTCACGGTGAGTACCTTACAAGTTTTTATTAATTTTAGAATTTAGTTATGTAGCAAAACATGTAATACACAATTATCGCAAGTAAAATGTAAAAGTTTTGGACATATACATAAGTAATATTAACGCACAAAAAACCGAGGTTAAGATACCTTACTCGCGTGTACGTATGTATACAAATTTTCTCCTGTTTTCCACATCGTGCAGAAAGATAATGATGTTAATTATCACACCATAGAAACACTGTTGATCGCGTTAAAAACAAATAGTTAATCACGTGGAAATAAAGTAATTTTGACACGAATCTGATGGAAAATAAGTGCTATGCTAAACACAAGCTGCATAATGTATAATGCATGTGTGGTACATATATACATCAAGTATAATGCTTTGTTTAAGAACTGGAAATAAAATTATTGTTGATATGTGAAAAACTTGTTGATTGATTGGTTGGATTGATTTGTGGAATTACGTATCAAATCTAGTTGGAAAATTTTTTTTTTACTTAGAGATATAAATATAAAAAAGAAAATATTTAAAGGTTATTATTAAAGTTAGTGTTTCTTTATGCACAGGCATGCTACAAATAAGGTTTGTTGTTATGCACATCCAGATGCTCCACTTATAGAAGACTACAGAGCAGGAGATCAGATTTGCTCAGAATGTGGATTGGTTGTTGGAGATAGGTAAAAACTTAAGAGTTTCTTTTTTTTAGTAGTTCAACAATTTTGTTGTAAGAACTACATTTTATTAATTACAATAGAAAGAGTTTCAATATGTTCACATATATTATCTTCTTTATTGTTATTATATTTTCTCTTATGTCTTAGAGTGATAGATGTAGGTTCGGAATGGAGAACATTTAGCAATGAAAAATCAGGAGTAGATCCATCACGTGTTGGTGGTCCGGAAAATCCACTTCTTAATGGAGCAGACTTGTCTACAATGATTGGGCCAGGAACTGGTGCTGCTTCTTTCGACAGCTTCGGCACTGCTAAATATCAAAATCGGCGTACGGTTAGTATTAAATATCATTTTTGTCAATTTATGTAACATGACAATTACAACGAACAAATATTCTTTTTTTAGATGAGCAGTTCTGACAGAGCACTGCTTAATGCAATTCGAGAGATCAATAATATGGCGGATCGTATCAATTTGCCAAAAACTATTGTAGATAGAGCCAACACATTGTTCAAGCAAGTACACGACGGCAAGAATTTGAAAGGTCGCGCAAATGATGCAATCGCTTCTGCGTGTTTATATATCGCGTGCCGACAAGAGGGCGTGCCACGTACTTTCAAGGAAATTTGCGCTGTTAGCAAGATAAGCAAGAAAGAGATCGGCCGATGTTTCAAATTGATTCTGAAAGCTCTTGAAACCAGTGTGGATCTAATCACTACAGGAGACTTTATGTCGAGATTTTGTTCCAATCTTGGTCTTCCAAATATGGTACAGAGAGCCGCTACGCATATTGCTAGGAAAGCAGTGGAAATTGACATTGTACCTGGAAGATCACCCATTTCAGTTGCTGCTGCGGCAATTTATATGGCGTCACAAGTATGTACAAAAACCGTTTCATGACACTGCAATTTCTATGTGATATAGACATTTTTTTCTCATGCAATACTTTATCTTGTGTACAGGCGTCAGAAGACAAAAGATCTCAAAAGGAGATTGGAGATATTGCTGGTGTTGCAGATGTCACGATCCGACAGTCATATAAATTAATGTATCCGCACGCAAGCAAGCTTTTCCCTGAAGATTTTAGATTCGCTACACCGATCGACCAGTTACCGCAAATGTAAAGTTAAGAAAGTTATATTTTTTTGGTTTCAAAGAGTATATTTAATTATTTTAAAAGGATGTAATTTTTTGCCCCTGTCACAAAGAATCAAGTAGGAATAATACATTTATTACACAGGAAACATTCCCAAAAATAACAAAACTCTCCTAAACAACAGTTCTCTTACCTTACTTTCTGTGAATTATCTTTTTCTTTTTTCTTTTATTCCACTTTTTTTTTATTTCACTTTCTACTGATTTTCAAAAAGACAATAGTTTAAATGACGTGACGTTTATTTTACGCTGCATCTTTGCGTCATTATAAAAAAAGTCTCGTTTTATACAACATATACTTTTATGCTATTCAGTTTTTTAGTTATTTCTTTCTTTCTAGTAATACTAATTTGTAATATAAGAAAAGAGATGTGTGTTTAATAATGTTACTAAGAAAGTTCAAGTATCTGTTTTTCAACAACATTAGAAAAGAAAACGTCTATGTAAAAAATGACTTTTATATTGAAATGTACTATGTATGTATACTTTCAATTTGATATATTGAAATAGAAGTAAAATACAAATATACAAATATCGTCTATAAAAGGTGTAAAGTACAAAATTGATAAATATATATGCTCACGCTGAACACTAAATTTTCTATGTACACATATAAGATCTTTACATTTTTATAAAATTCAGAGCTCGTTTTATACTTACATGCAACACAAAAACAACAACAAATAAATCTATTACATTTGAGAAGTATTGTATATATAAAAAAAAGAGGATGTATAAATTTATATATAATCTCTCTGTGAAATTTGCAATACAAAATAGATAAAATTAGTAAAATTTCTTCTAATTTGTTCATACTTGTATTTTTCTTTTTTCTGAAAATTTTTAATTAGCGCAAAAGAAGAGTATAATAAAGTTTGGATTTATGAAATTTGTTTTTATTTTTTATTTTACATACATATACTTTTTGACTTTGCTAAGAATTATCTTAACTTTTGCTGTATGGGCCAGCCTAATGCAACTTTGTTATTGTTATTATTACATAATAATAATAGTTATATACATATATATATATATATATAT